GGTGACTATTTATCTAGAGGTTGTAAGGGAGATAAATAATGGTATAAACGGTTAAGATTGGCTATTAAATCAAAAATACGAAAACAGGCAATTAGTTGGCACTGCAATCCAAATCTCATCTAATTGGATGGTGTGAGGTGAACTAATGAGCCGTTCATCGACTCACATCGACCACTGTGGTCAGATGATCGAGCCGGACCCAGGGTTTGTATGAATTTTTTTTGACAGCACGGCACTTGATTCCGTGACTGGGTTGTCTAAACGGTGAGGAACCCATTCAGAAGTTTCATGGAATGTTTATGTGGAAACCAGAATCACAGTTCGACTGCAGTGCGCTTACAGCAAGCTACTGCGTGCGTGCTCATTGCATGCTGATTGGCACTTTTATTTAGATGTCTTTATAAACGGCCTGTAGAGGACAGTTTAGTCCTCGCACATCCTACAAATTTCTATCACATTTACAAACGTACGAATACTTATACCCCAGTTTATTGGTATTTTGGCGATAGAGTTTCTTTCGGCCAAACGCCAAGGAGACACTCTTAAATGTTCAGCATACCGTAAGCAGGCAATTGGCACTATTCGCAACCTTCAGGCCTTACTCTAGCGATATTCGGGAGAATTCTCGTTTGAACTGAGCTCGGGCTTCACGGCGAGTGTGCACCTTTGATGTCATCCAGGTGGATGAAGAAAGTTTCATCATACATTATTACTCAATAGCTACCTAAAACAGGCTACTTTTAAAACGAGGTGAACCGTGTAACTTGGCTGAATATTAAAAATGAACATTTGGCCATAGCTGTCGGACACAAGCTACTTGCTACCCACCAAATGAGATTACTTTTTACAACGGATCATGTCAGCTTGAGTAGTGAAACGAAAAGCGCACTCAGTATCTCCATCTCATATATTGAAGATCATTTCATGAACAGTTCAAAGTCTATAGATGCAATACACTACTCATGAGGCTTCTGAAAATTCTTCGACAGCCCAGGACCGGTTTCACCCTTCTTGGGGCTCATAAGCACAGTAACAAGTTTCTTTCAACCTTATGCTCTACTTGAACACAAATTTGATTAAAAAATGAGTATTTCGCCAGTTCAAAGTCTTTTTCCAGAAGTTTTTAGCAATCTCATGAGTAGTGTGTTATGCAAAATCTGTCTGAAAATCTTATTGCAAAAGGGGTTTTTCCCTTGAAAATAGGGGTACAAATAGTGACAGATATACTCATTTGCAAATCAATTTGGTTTTCACGAGAGATTCAACCGAATTTATTGTTTATGATATTCTTCAACTAAATGTGCTGCACACAGGCCGCCTCATGATTCAGTTGGCACGATATTCGAGATATCGCAGTATATTCTCATGAAAAAAACTATTCACATGGTCGCTGAAAGCTCTTCGACAGCCCAAGACCAAGTTCGCCCTTCCTGGGGCTCATCAGGTAAGCGCAATCCCCGAGCTTCCTTTGACCTTATATTCAACTTGAACCCAAATTAGTGTGCAAATGAATGTATTTCGCCAGTTCAAAGTCTTTTTCCCCAACCTCTCACCGAAACTGTTAGCCTTCAGAGAAGCAGTATTGACAAACAGCGACCGAGCAAGCCTATGGACACAAGAGACTTTGTCATGTCTTATGAAGAGACCGGCTGGTCCGCACGTCGATTTCACAGTTCTACTCAGTTAAAATGTGAAAACTTGCTCCATCGTGCTTACTTTAGAGGCTATAATTATCACGTTGACTTGGCACGTCTTCCAAACACTTTTATTTAGACAAAATTGCAAGGCCCAAAGGATGCAACCGTATACAGTGTTCGGATCGATTTAATCAATTCAATTTATTAGATATAAACCGTCTGCCATACGCACATTGGTTCTAGCTGCTACGGTTTCGATCACCGGAAACCGGGAGAGTGGAGCATACGAGCAAGCCTTGGAGGTGAAGGCGATAGATATAATGCACGAGCGCCACTGACTGCGCGACCGGGCCACTTCCGTCAATGCCATTAACCACTGGTGATTTGAGTACCGGAGAGGCGGCAGTTGCCCATCCGACTAAGTTTACTGGTTAGTGTTTTCATACTCCGTTGCCAGGTCATGCATAATCAAACTCTCGGTCGCTTCCACTCAGCACAGGGCTGAGCGAAAAGAGCTCTGTGAGGCAGATGGTCTTCCGGCATGCGGAGTACATGTCTCAACTAGCGCAACCTATGAAGCGAGAGTAATTCATCTATCGGATGGCTCAAAGCATGTGGTCAAGCTAGTAAAAGTCATCCGGAATTCACTTCCTTTCTCATAAATGCGCTTGAAAACCAATAGATTAGCAAGAATACACATTTTTAGCAAGCCTAGGGAACGATACGGTATTTTAGCCAATCAGTAGGATCGCCTACCAAAGGGACAGTGTGCTCGAGGTGATTGTCCTAGTGGGCTTGCGACATACTTCGGGTTTGTGACGACCAGTAAAAATTTTGATTACACTACTGGCTTTAAAGGATCCACAAATCAGAATATTCAACCAATTTGATCTACTTGAGTTGAAAGCGTTTGGATCGAAGAATGAGACTCAGGTTGCATTATAGAACTCACTATAGACTAGAAGAGTCATTTTAAGGTGGAATTCCCAAGGATTTTGAAACTTGGGAAGGCTTGATACGGTAATCGATGCTGCCAAAGTCATCATCGCATGGCCGACCAGAACGCCGTTAAAAAGCAAGCCAACCACCTGAAAAGGTATCAAAGAGGAAATAAAAAGTCATATAACCACGTTTTGTCTATAGGTGGCTCATCTTTCTTTGCCCTCTCCAGTCGCAACGTATAGATGATCGGACGCTGTAAGGAAATATCATAACTGATGAACAGTTCTGTTCTTGCGAAATTTTAAAGTGGTCAAGTTAGGTTGTGTCCGTATTCACTTCTCGGGTCATGAGATATTTAAATGCTAGTGAACCTCTGTCCATAAAAATGAGCCCCCCACCCCAAAGGATCTGTGGTTCTGGATAACGGAACAGGGTGGAAGCCCTTTTGACGTCAAAAAAACATACATACTTCACAACTCACAGGTTCACAATCTTTTACGTAAGACTTTATTTGATTTGGGCAACTGACAGTAGGACTGTGCAAGTGAGAGTTCAGTTTTTCAACGAAAAGATGCGGATCAAATTATCTCGGTTCCAATTGACACAGTGACATTCACTGGGCGGGCGATGACCAAATCTGTCCATTGACGCTATATGACTTGAGTGTGAAGGCCATACAATGAAGATGACAGCTTTGATGCAAAGCTGCCTTTGGTTGTGTGACGTAACTGTATCTGTCCCGTTGGTTTGTCTAGTTCCGGGATCTTCAGCTGGTGAGACGGCGGTTGAGTTGATTGACGCGCTCCGTTGATTCATGCTCCGTCGCCAAGTCCATCCCTGATTGTCTTCATCTGAGAAATTGCTGAGCGAGTAGAGGCCTGAGAGGTAATGATCCTCTGGCCCCTGGGTTAGCCAGGGTAAATTTTGGAATGCAACCACGTGAAAAATGGAGTGAGAGTGGACTTCCTTAAAAATTATCCGGCGCACTTCAGCATAACTGATCTGCTGTTTCCACCAGAGCGACGGAAAGCTTGAAAGGGACCAGTAGTGCGACGCAAAAATTTCACAAAGATCTGTAACTATCTGCCAAGTTCCTGACGCATGACATAGAACGCCGAAGCGCAGCACTGTATGCCCTATCCTTGACAGCTAATTTGGTGCCAAGTCAGCTCCAAAAATGTCGAAGGCTGACAAAGGCTGTGTGGCCATATCGCTTTTAGAGGTGATTTCATCTTTTGTCAGACCGTCGGGACTGCCTAGGTGGGGGAGCTTAACTACCACATCGATCACTTCACCACATGGGATTCACCTATTTCCCTAGAAGATGCAAGATGCAAGCCGTCTGGATTGGGTGCTTCGTTGCGCTAAATTGCGAACTTTCATGCTGGATTTCTGTCGTTGTTGGAGGACGGCTATCGACATTGCAATGATCGTTTCAGAGGCTGGGTTGTCGGAGTTCGAGATGACGCTTCTCCGAGTGAATTGTGGTTCCATGCTTTTCGGAAATCATCTCGTTAACACCCAGTGCACACGAATTAGGAGAAATAAAGTAGTAGTTTCCTTTATGAAAATATACTGCGATATCTCGAATATCGTGCCAACTGAATCATGAGGCGGCCTGTGTGCAGCACTCTCAGTTGTAGAATATCATAAACGAGAGATTCGGTTGAGTCTGTCGTGAAAACCGAATTGAGTTGCAAGTGAGTGTATTTCTCGAAAGTGGTCCAATTTGGGCTCAAGTAGAACATAGGTTTGACGGAAACTCGGGGACGGCGCCTACTTGATGAGCCCCAAGAAGGGCGTAACCGGTCGTGGGCTGTCGAAGCGTTTTCAGCAAACTTGTGAGTAGTTTCCTTTAGGGAAATAAAGTATCATTTTTCCCGTTGTAAAAGTTCCATCATTTTCTGGGCCTTCATTAGTCCTTAGGCTTTTCACTATACGACCTTCGAGGCATCTGCGTGCAGTCATTGTTCGGTGTGGTTTTCTTGGCTTCAATGAAGACTGTCGTTTGTGATGAGATCCAGCGTTCACTGGGACAAGCAAGCGCGCTCAGGTAGACGGGTTCATAAGCTGTGAGCGCGGCTTCTTCCACCCTTTCCGTCATTATCATTGTTTAGTTCGGAAAGCCTTTCAACCAGCTCAGCCAAATAGACAGTTAGGCTATAAAGACTGTTTGCATATGATCAACTGAATCACCATGCGTCAGTCAGCCCGTTCCTCAGGGGAAGAGAATAGTTACCCATGCCCGCATAATGCCCCTGTCAATGTCATGTTGTGTGCTTTAAAATAAACGGAAATCTTGTATTGGTAGCTGTGGTAGCTGACTTCCACATGGTCCACCTGAGTCCGGAGCTGGTTTTCAGTTGGTGGCTGGAAGTAATTGATGTTCAGCACACAAATGAAGAAGCCGCTCCCTATCATCTATGCGGTCAACGCCAATTCCGGCCCGGTTCTCAAGATAGACTTCTTCATAACTTTGGCAAACCTGGGCTTTCATTCATATGCGAAAATCATGATATATGTAAGTCTTACCGACAGAAGTAGCGATGATGAACCTTGGTAGAAGCTTTCTTAGCCTCAGAGCCGCTGTCTCTCGGTGGGTTTACGTAAACTGTTTCAGAGGCACGACATGCGTCGATCGAAAGCACAAACTAGGTCTGTGCAAGGCCTATCGATTGTCCGACTTGGCAGCATAAAACTTGAAAGCAGCGATGTAAGACAGAGCTTCTGAATCTACCGGAGATTTATTTTGCTTTATTTTGCTGAGCAGAATTTTAGATGCAAGTAACCATAAAGCGATCGTGAGCTAAATGAATTGGATGGACTTAGATGAGGGATCTGTGGGGGAAAGAATAGTTAGAGTAGAGATGTAAGGGCGAGTAATACTTCCCGACTATCCAAGGCTAAAAAGAACGTCTGGTGGTCGTAACTCGCATTAAGCCTTTAACTCAAAAGACCCACATGGCAGTGAGAAGTTATGAAGTTTCGTTTGGAAATTAATCCGCTAGCCTCTGACTAAAAACTCCAAACCGTGGGATAGCAGTTCCTAATGATTCCTTGAGAGATGTCTCCCGAGGCAGCACGACTACTTCCATAACTATGAGCATACTGGGAGAAACGCCTTGCTGTCCTGAAAACCTGTCTCAGCGAACAGTATAACTGTGCCCTCAGACTGCTTCATAATACGGTTTTTCACAGTATTGGGACGCGCGTTTCTTCGTCTGACTACTCACAACTGGCCTTTCCCTCATGAGTGAGCCAGTGTGTCACAAGATGATTTCAGTAGTGAAACCCGACCTGCGAAACAGGATGACGAGTTCATACCGGGTAGAATGAGGATGGTGCGAATGCAAAAAAAAACGTTTTAACCAATGTGTGGCTGCTTTATTTTCAACAGATTGGAGTAAACAGAAAATAGTTAGACAGTGTAAAATTGCACCAGAAATCACCAGTAGTACCTTGGAAGGTAAAGACGCACCCTGCGACAATTTTTTTAGAAACAGAAATGGGAAGGTTCGTCTGAGCCTTCAGATAACGCCGACTTAGTTGGCAAATGAGTTGGCTTGGTCAAGGCTTGGGAATATATGAAGATAGAATGTTTAATTCTGCCAGTTGGAAAAGGCAAAGGTGGTGATAGATAATCACGAACCATGGTTACTCAGATGGCTGCAGTGCACCAAAATATTTCATTCTCCGGAATTCTGTGATGAAATCCTTCCTTGCTGCATGCCGACGGTATCGATACATTGTTTTGCCACAGACTGACACCCTTGCTTGGCGTCTTTTTCAAACAGTGGGTGAATTTACGATTAGCGTGAACTGTTTGATTCAGTAGCAACAAACCAATCAGACCCATTGGTGATTTTTCTGTTCTTGTGGATAAAACGTAAGATGGAAACATCAAAAACGAGAGATTCAGCTCGGTTCCAGGTGAGTCTCTCGTAAAGCCAAATAAGTTTGTAACTTAGTGTACTTCTCTAAAAATGTAAGATGCTTCAACAAAGTAATTTGGAACGTGTTTCACTTCCTACCTGTTGAGACCGAAGAAGCAAGCGCATAATTTGGTGTTGTCGATGTCGAAAGGCAACTGATAATTTTGGTACTGCTAGTGATGAGTCACAAGGAGAAAAAAAATCATCGGACCAGTTTGATGTGGACAAAGAGAAGAAAGTGGGCAGTAGTAGGACAAATACTTTTCAAACACAATCGCTCGCAAGGGTGGCATGTTTCGAAAGGAACACAAAATCTGAACGGGCACTTACCTTGCACCAGTGAAATTGATCTATTGAGATCACAAACATCTGTAGGAGCACTCTGGCAAGTTGGAGTGTAAGGAGTTGGATGGACAGCGTCAGCAGACCCCTTGCATCAACAGGTCTATAATGAACGAAGAGATAAATGGGAAGAAAAATATCTATCCACATAACAACTGTAAGGGCCGAGGAAATTTTCAATTTCGTAGAAGCGTTTTCTCTAATTTTACCCCGGAGCATCTGTTTGAAGCCTTCACTTCTGTTTAACCAGTCACTGAGAGGGCAAGAAAACACCTATCCATTGTGTGTGAAAGTGATGCAAATGTACAATGCTGTGTTTACAAAACACACTTGTGTTCACTGTACTAACTTTGCTGGTTTTGTCGCCCTAAAAGTGAAAATAAACCTGCTTGGCTCGGTCGTGTGCCGCGCATTCCGAAACATCGTCTACTAAGACGATGGTGCAGACTGCGAGCTGGATTTGGTAGAAGGGTTTCAAGGGAATTTAAGAGAGTTCAGGTGTTGTTGGTGCGATCTGCCTTCTTAGATGGGGTCGCTGTGACCACCGCCTCCTGCATTTGGATTAGCAGAAATAGCGGCTGATCCATGTCAGTGACATTCGTGCTATCAGTTTCTTTCCAGGTTGCCTCACTAAGCGCTTGGATATTTAGGCGTTTCAGTACCAGGTCCTCCTGCAACCAGTCTGTTCTCTTCTCGAGTGTAGGTAAATAATTGTTTGTCTGTACGGCATTGAGGCGTCAGCTTCAACGCTTGTGTTGTTGTCCGTGATGATGAAAACGTTGTTTGCGTGAAGATTTATACACCAGGTGCAGTTCAAGGAGAGCTGGAATATATTTTTAACACCTTGCGAAAAACTAGCTATTCGAACTGGCATCTGGAAAGAACTGGAAACTGCTTGCACAGAAGGTGGTACGATATGTGTCTAAGGAATGCCACCTCATCTGCAGATGCCTTGTGTGGGTGATACAGCTACTGAGCCGTTGTTGTCAGCCACCCGGCATCGATACAAATGTTGCAAGACCAGCTTCCACCTGTGTACACCAATGTCCCGCTCATCTACAGCAAATTATATCGAAAGAACTACTAGGCGAACATGGTCGGCAAATGAATTTACACATAAAACCAATAGCTGTGCCCTAGCAAATCTGTTGAAGAGGGCATCAGTTGGAAATTCACACCACATTCATTTTGACACATCAAGTGAGTGGAAGACTACCACACAGAACTACATACTGAAGACGTTTCCACTGGAAACCGTCCCAATCCACCGATGTACACCAAACCCATGTGCAGCGAGGGTTTTTACAGTCCATCCTCATTTTGTCTTTATTGGTTTCCCTTAAATATAGGTGCATATTTGTCAGACTTCGTTCATACTGCGAGCCGAAAATTTCATACTCCGCGTAAACTGAAATGATATGAGGAATACTCATCCCAAACTTTCGTTTACTCCACAATTGCTTGGACATAAGAAATTTTCTTTTCAAACCACTTTTGGCGCGTAAATTTAAGGAATTCTTTTCGGAGAGAGGTAACACTAAAAATGGAGAATCAAGAAGAGATATTTTGTGACTGAAAAAAGGAGAGGGTTTGTGTTCCCGCTTATTTACGGGATTGAGGGGGGTGTCATTCATCAGACAATAGTGAAGAAAATTGGAGGTGTCGGAAGTGACCCAGTGTCGCCTACCTGCCCTGCTGTACTCAGCAGATGAATGTGGTTACGCGTTGATGATTGTGATAGTTTGTGAACAATGCTGAATATATATATATATATATATATATATATATATATATATATATATATATATACTTGTTTACACCAAACTTTTCAATACTGTTCCGAAGGATGAGCGGTTTACTGATTGCCTAAGATGACAACGTTCGCGCAAGTCAGCATTAACGCCATACGACAAACAGCGTCCTGCCCGTTGATCACAGAAACATCTTTTATCCATGGCGACACTGCACCTGGCTCTATGTAGTTTATCATACCTCGATGTCCAGAGCAGAGTAATACAGGGATAATGTTCCTGGACTTATTTTCGTTGATGAGAGCAAACGTTGTACGAAACTCGCTTCCGCCAGGAGCCATTCTTAGAGAGAACGTTCCTTCCTCGGTGTGTTCTTTCACACAAGTCTGTCTCCACTAAAATGCAAGTCAGCCAAGACACACTTTGTTGGCTGATTTTCCCTGGTAGGAATATTCACAATTTTAAAATCTCTATTGGTCAACTGGTGAACTGCTAGCAATTCACAGACACTGAAAGACCGTATCGCCGGTGCCATTAAACGACTATCATCATCATCATCGACAGCATGACATCAGTGTTCAGCACCAATGCTTCACCACCGCACAGGCGACTATTCTAAGACATTGTACTCTCTTTTCGAGTCCAATTAGGTTGAGTAAACTGGTTACTTGACAAGAATTTGAAACACGTTACGAAATTCCAAAGTGGTTGGGAATTAAGAACCCTCTCCACTGCCAGACCGATCCACTTCCTCTGCTGCCAGTGCTGATGGATAGTCACCTGAGGTCTTTCTTCCATAACAGGTCATAAACATTCGGGTGTTCACGTTTACTAGCTGGTTTCGCCCCCTAAGCCATCCTAACAGAGAGACCTGACTGACATTCACCGTCCTTATTGCACACGGTACTCATGAGTTTCTAAAACTTGTTGACCGTGGTGATGGTAGCACTGTTTGCCCACGTGATGTCTAATCATCGCCCGAGAAGCGAACCACCGGTTGGATCTGTTAAACAAGGATAAGTTCGGTTTTTTAGGGACCTTACGCCCAAGCCCCGTGTTAAAATATTAGGAACAGCGCTTTCAAATGCTGTAGAGGCTTTCAAGATTTAAAAGACTACAGCCAACCGACGCATATCTGTTGATAAAATGGCATCAAGAGAGGGTTAACTTATTAGCGAAATACACTCATTTGCGAACAAATTTGGTTTTGCGAGAGACCCACATGGAACCAAGCTGAATCTCTCGTTTATGATGTTTCCAGGCAACTGAATGTACTCCACCAGGCCACCCAGTAGGATATTCCCAGTTGGTAGGATATTCGAGACATTGCGATACACGTATATTCGTAATACACTACTCATAAGGTTGCTGAAAATCCTTCGAAAGCCTACGACCGGTTTCGCCACTCTTAGGGCGCGTCAGGTAGGGCACAGTCCCCGAATTTCTGTCAAACCTTTGTTCTACTTGAGACCAAATTGCACTAAATTAGCGAGATACACTAATTTGCAAACAAATTCAGTTTTACGAGAGACTCACCTGGAACTCAGCTGAATCTCTCGTTTATGAAGAGTTTTCAGCCACCTTATGAGTAGTGTACTACGTCTAAACATGCATCGCGGATTTCCATGTCCTTCAAAAGTGCTTCCTCATTGGATGATATTCTTATTTGAATTTTGCAGATCGTTTAGAGTGGAGTGATTCTAAAATGTGCTCAATCACAATGGGAAACGATAGAGACAAACCGATTGCAATTAAAATGTAAAGGGATCACACAAGAGGGTCTGGATTAAGCCAGAGGTACTAAGACTTAACATTTCAGTGGCGTTTGAAATTTTCGGCCATGTAAGAGCTACATTCTCCGCAGTGGCGGGGTTTTTTTAGTCTTATTGATACGAAATGCAGGCTGAATTAGAATCTCCGGTACAAACTACTACTCACAGTTGAACTGCCAGTAGATATGACAATCCAAATAAAAGAAATCCACTGGTTACAGCATGAACGAGATACATTCTGTAGCTCCGAAGAATTCCGTAAAATTTTATACCAATAGCTTCGATGTCTTTCTGTGGCTGAAACGTGACAACAAAAGAAAGGGCGGTTTCACGGTTGAACAAACAATATTTGGAAATGAGCTTATCAAATCTTGGCACCTAATTCATCCAAATTACACCTATATAAAGAAAAAACAATTTACCATGTTGCACAGCATCTATCGGACGCTTTGAATTCTTAGTTCTGTTACGGCCCCGTTCGTGGTCTTCTAATTGTGGTGAAATGCTAGCGGCCTACCTTCCTTTTTGGGCTGCGTTCAGGACAAACTAACGGATTACACAGATGCGAAGACACCGAATGAAAGCTTTGGCGGAATGAAAAGATGTAACACATTTGTTCGCATTGCAGTAGTTGATTTACCAGTAGAGAAACATATTTCGACATTCTTGGGCGCTTGAGCATCAATATGAGGTTCACGCCTGACGTAACAGCAATGGCTTTCAACGAGCCTTGCCGTTTTGATATCCGAACGTACGTTAAACGCTACGAATTGGAGAGCATTTAGACCCTTTTGCAAGATAGTAACTACGAGCCCGGAAAATTTACGACTTATTGATGGATACAACACAGCTGCCATTTGGAGAGAAAATCGTGACTGGATTAAGTGAGCTGGATGATGAGGTCACCGGATGCCAACCAGTAATATTTACCTGAAGGCTGTGTCTATAAATGGTGGAAAAGCTTGAGATTTACACGCGAACCTTAGAGAGACGGACCTGAGGACTACCCACGAGGATGATGAGGTCAGCCATCAGGGTCACGTCCCCTTGCAGATAAAACAAAATCAAGAGTTGCGATCTTTAGTAGAAGGCAAGTTGAGAAAACACATTTTGCGTCTGTGGTCTTTCTAGCGCCTCCTAAACGATGCCATTTCGAGTAGTGTACGTTTAATCAGCAGTGATAACTCTATGTCTGAATACAGGTACTAATCCGGGTACTAGTTTAACAAATGGATTGCATGCCTGAAAAATTTCAGTATAACTTACGTAAAGGATAGCATAGTATCCTGTTTGCCGGCAAATACACCGAATGGTCGTACCTTTTCGTTCCTTCATAGAACAGCTGTCTCGGGTGTCCCATAGATATTTGTCCTTCTTTGCTGTAGGGTTGTATCTGGCACAGATGTAGTCCACCGTGATGAATTCGATGGGAAGTTTAAAGGAGATATCCAGGACCATGTTTGGTGAGGGCTAAGGCAGAGCACAAGGCGCGCAAGAACGGGCTTGGTTAATCTATACTCTGAATATCATCAGACCTATTATTGTTTCGTCATTCGCCACGGCGTCATAGTCGACTGACTAGCTTGAATTTACTGTCAGATGAAAGAAGAAATAAAATACACGACGAGAAGTTGTCCCTCGAGGGGTCAGTCAACAAGTGACCACAAGATGTGAATTCCGTGAATGAAGGCTGAGTGACGCTATGTTCTACCAAAGCGCGGGTTAATCAATTACTTGTGACCGAGCGGTTTAATCTTCGATTGTTAGCCAGAAAGCAGCCGGTTCGAATCACCCTGGAGACTCGTGGGATGCGCACCACTGATAAGTTCCAATGAGAATAAAGCAGCTGTACAGTGCTTCGCAGTTTTTTGTATCAACTGACTTCAGTTGTAGGATGAAACCTTCATTGGAATTTCTATTTCTGGTAGCACCATTGAACTGTTAGCTTGTTATTCTTGTGACACTGTCCCGTTCGTATATCGTATAATGATAATTCATAAGCCACACCTATTTATCGACCGATTTCATTGGGTCTTGCATGAGTCTGTCACTGCTTCAGGTATGGTATTCCAGCTAAATCGTTCGCGCAAGCGCACTTCCGAACGAGCAACCACTCTGTCAAATTTAATGGATTATCCGGTCTCATTGTTTATGATACCGCAAGGGAACCTTAAATTCGTATCTTAAAGGGTACCATTCACATGGATGAATACAAAGAGACAACTAGTACCCTGACATCCGATGGTATCTGGGATAGTTCAGAGACCAAGAAATTACTCTGAATAGGAAGGAAACATTAAGGAGTAGATGAAATCCGTTACTATTGCATTATGCCCTTTGATCTCAGAGATGGCTTGCAGAAAACGAACAAAATCGTTATCCACACTCGATTGCGTTTCACAAGGTGAGTCTTCTTGTGGTAATTTGTGAGGCAAGTACCAAATGAACAGCCTAGAGTTCTCTTCTGTCTCTGACTGAACTGCCATCAATAGTCAATCATGAACAAAAATAATTAATTAGTCCGTTATTTCCAATGGGTATTATTAACAAAAATGCTTACCTCAAGGAGTTCAGTGTAAACCAGTCCCGAGAAGATGGCAAACCCACCAGTGGTGATGTTCTTAAGTGCCTTTATGCGTTTCGAACAAATCACCAGTACGTTTCCAGTTATCCTTTTGATGATGATGTCATAGTTCCATTCCCACTGCAGAACGAAATGTAAATGCACAATAATGAACAAACAGCCGATAAGAATACCACTTCCACATACATAGTTGGTACAGTTATGAGCGCAGTTGTGATAAGCATTTAATTTGAGGAGAGCGATGTAAGAGGCTCACCTACTGCAATTCGTTATTGACATTTGCTTTTGGGAGTGCCAAAGAGAAATGTTTTCTTTCGAGCCAAAGCATTAGTTTATGTGGTAGTAGGTTACAGTGCCAATGCCTTCAACGCCTACCTGCCCGTTCCCCGAACTAACTGAACAAGCAGTCGCTTTTAACGACTGGCTGTAGCTCCCACGCTTTTCTACTTTTCTGTAATCAAAAACGCAGCAGATGGAACCGAAGTACCCTTGGTACAAGGTTCATAACGGATAAAATGAACTGAACTGAACTGAAATGAAGTGAAGTGAAGCCCAGGCAGACAAATATGCATTATCCAGTTGCTCGCCAACCTTTTTATTTGTAAGTTTATATGAGTAGACAAAATGGAGCTTAAACCTTTTTTTACCGACAACCTATGCACAGCAACAGCTGGTTGGTCCCTTGATGATCAGCTTTCTCCGTGAAATGATGCGGTCCGAGAGAAGCTGTTGCTGCAACGCTGGCCCCAGTTTCACCATATGCGTCTGAACTCTTGTTGCTGATGCACCCAGCATTGTGTACCAGTAGAAGAAAGAAGGCTTTCGCTGCGGAGTCATTTATTAGAAAATGCCAACTGTCTGGTTACAGACTATTGGACAGGGAAGCAAAACTCTTATTTGGAAAAACTGGATACCCATCTCCTCCTGAACGCGTCTTATCGAACTTTCCTGGATATTCATTAACTCCAATCATTCCTCGCTCAAATCCAAGCAAGTGTTACAAAGCGACTCCAAAAATTCCGCAACACATCTCCCCTTTTCAAGGGACTCAAAACAAAATTCCATGAACAAACCACACTACTCCCATGCCTCCCCATCAGTAGTATCACCGTTACACCAGGTCTGTTGCAATTCATATTTGCATATGTTCTACTTACTTATAAGGATTTTTCTACTATTCGTTCATGTGGGGTGATAAGGCAACCAATGTAACTTCAGACAGAGATTGAATTTGCTCAGTGGTTAAGGCTAGGAAATACTGACCGAGATTCCCATGGTTTGAAACCAAGCCTGATTTAGAATTGTGTAGATTTCGGCAGATTGGCTATAACCCAGTTCTCGTGGTTCCTGCCAGTTGTACAACAGCTGTGAACCGAAAAGGAGCTACATTTGAACGACTATTTGTCAACACAAATGCATTTATAGCTTATAGGTTTTTAACAATACCACCTTATATATTTCTTGTCAGTGCTGCAGCTGTATTTCTCTGAAGCTACCAACTGAGGGGCCGTCACAGATTTCGTCCAGTAAATGAAGGCAATTTATGCTGAAAAGCCGGGAAGTGGCGTACAGCTGTTCCTTTCTTATTGAGAAGTCACTAACTCGGTTAGTAATTCGAACAATTAACCGTTCGACCACGAGCAGCAGATCACCAATTCCTTAACTCGCACTCAGAGAGGCTACAGCGCTGTTCATTCTTCATTTACGGGATGCACATGGCGTAGTCACAAAGTGTTGACTGGCTGCTCGAATGACGACTGCTCAGATGGAGATTTGAGGGAGAGTCTAAATACGAGTTGATCACATGCTGATCAGCTGTTCTTGGCTGTCAAGTGTTCAGGCTACTAACCGAGAGTTCGCAGGTTCGAAACTCCATGGAGCTTCGTGGGATAACAATGTTGTTGACTCCCAGAAAGGATGAAACAGTTGTACAATGCTTATCGGCTCTCCATGGTAGAGTGTACTCACTTACAGGACGAGAGCTCTTTAAAACTGCCAAATCTCCTCACGCTAATATGGTGGAAGATGTTCCAAAGAATCACTTAAAATACTATCTTACAAGTGCTGTTGCCAAAAAGGACCACCACACCCAGGGGAAGCCGTCAAGCTTATCATATTCCAGTTACACTTATACGCAAAAAACACAAAACATGCCAAATTCAAATCCGTAACTTACAGTAACCCTGGCAATTTCATTTTTTGCCACGGCTTGGAAAGCACACATGAATCGTGTTGGTTGTTGGAATAAAGTGGAAGAATTGAAATAATCCTGAAGTCGGCGACCGAATGCCTTCATGAGGCTAGTAACTGCGTGGATTACACTGCAGTTGTGGATAAGAAAAGCGAGACATATGGGAACAAGATAGAAGTAGAGGTTGCAGATAATAACTGGATGGTTGCATTCTCACAAAGCACAGCCAAAATTACGAAGAAACTGGGTGTTGTGCTCATTTTTGCCACATTTACATAAACGCCTGACTAAATGGATTTGCCAAAATGCCCGGTGAATTTGTACCCTCAAGGGACAAGTAAAGTCGCCCAGCTTTGAGCGGATCACCAACAGAAATGAAATCCCAGAAGAGGTCACCCGTATTTCTTTGAGGCTTTGCACAACGTGGGAATTTTCCCAAAGGGGACTTGTCAGATAATCACACGCCTTGACTAGATTTCAGATGTTTTTCCCAGGGTACAGCAGCTATATTTCGGAGAATCGGTAGCTTCAGTTTTACAAGCAACAACCCCTTGTTTAACACACCTCCCCTAGCTGCACGATAAAAATTAGGTGGAAAAATTTTTGACACTACTGATTGAGTAGTAATTTGAAGGATGACTTTCTTGATGTCATTCGGTAACCATATGGTTGACATCAACCTCAGTGACCTCAAGATCTCATAATTATATTCTCACAGGAATTAACTAGATACATGTTTATCCGAAACGGTGCCTCTAAGTTTTGGAAGCGAGAGGTTCCCCCCATGTTAACCGGATCACGTGATCCGAGAACAACGGCTTAGTGAAACAGTCATTTATGGATTAACTTACAACCGATCATTCAGCTTCGGCTTGGGTTGATTACCCAGTCGATGTATAATGAGGTCCAGAATATTTATGAAATCAGTATACACTGCTTGGAAGTCGGACTGCGTAAAAGGGGCGCACTCATAATGGATGTGGTCCAGAACGGTGTGAATGTGGGTCTCCAATAGGACTGGCTGCAATTTCACGTAGCCATAAAGCATGAAAATCATCAGTCTGCAGTACATCGGACCTGAAATTTGAAAACACGAAGGAAGTGTTATCATTGGAAATTTCGTTAAAATCAACTGTATCGTTCTTGCCGACACGGAACTTTGAGTCACACGTAGGTTTGACGATCCTGAATATCAAAAGCAAGAATCGTTTTTGAAATTCTACGGTGCTATCTACATAAAGGTAGGCAAAATTAACAAAATGTGTCCAGCAGGTTTCAAGCATCTGTGGCGCTACCTGATTGGGAGGTCCTCACTGGCGGGTCAGTCGATCAACACAACCAAGTTATGTTGCTGGATCGTCGTTTGAGGCGTCGGGTTTTCCGCTCACATCACCCAAGTACGAACACGTTCATTTATTCAGGCGTAAAATTCGGGTAAGTCCAGAGTGCATTGGTGGAGTAGTGGTAACACGCTCGCATGTCAGATGTGTGGAGTTCAATCCTATGCACGATCATTGGATATGCACTGCTGATGAGCTCTAAAAAGTGCAAAATTCGAGTCCATTGATTTTCCCCTTTGGTGTGGACTCACCAGAGTGATTGCGCCAGGACAAGAGGACGATTGTTTAAACGAATCATGTGTAAATGTGCATTCTACAAAATCTCGTAATTACCAACACCTGAAACTGTCACTGACCGACACAGTGCACTGCCGCAGTTTCAAAACAACGGCGAGCGGAGTGTTGACAACAGAGTGCCGGGTGCGATCGTCTCTCCCGACGACAGTTTCGTGGTTCTGCTTGACCGTGCGATCACAAGGAACTCATGATAGAACAAGTCAGGACACGAACACTCATAGTCAAGTAGGTCAGCTGCGGACATTCACACATATGCATACAGGCTAGTTTACCGGTCTTTGACAGGACGGCCTTTACGGCAAGGTGAACGGTGGCTGCATATGAGCAAAACAAGTGGGGATCAAAAGTACATGGGCAGAGTAATCAAATGAATCATGGAAATGCCATGAGGTCAAGTCGCATTCCATAGTCAAGAACGGAATCCTTGGGTAATGAACAAGGAATAGGAAATTAGATTCCTTCCAAATGAAACTAACCGCTAGTGTATAGTGCATCAAGTTTCAGCAACAGAGATGGGTCAAACATAACTTTAGCTGCATAAGCGGGATGTCAGCTGTTACTAGTACACTCTTCGATAATTCAGACTGGTAACCTGAAGCGATGGACCAAGATGTCTTCTATGGTCTCTTTTGTAGAGGCAGTACAATGTAAGGACCTTTGGAAAATACAGCCACAAAGAGAAGTGATCAATTCTTAGAGTAATTTGAACAAGAGGGTAGAAGCAGTATGTTGAAAAATTCCTATCTACGGTCACTTTGGAACTAGTCTCTTTCGATTATTTTTCAACTGTCGAGCACTTCTACCAGCGTGTGATACCAAGCCACTAGACTGGGTCTCACTCTTCATAGGTGACACTCCACACACACATACCAAAAAAAACAACTGTTGCATACAACCCATACTCTGGTTGTTTTTGTTCCCTGGATTTTATAAGTAAGGTCTGATTATAAAACGCAGAGTACACCAATGTCTTTCCGCCTGTTATAGGGCTACCCAGAGGTGATTACTTAATTAGGACGACCTGATCTTGATGTATTGCCCTCACAGTCCTGACAGACAGTGGCAAAAAACCCTTTTCTTTCGGTGATGGTTTTGTGAAGCCCATCGGATATAAACCAGAACTTGGTCTGCATCGTTTGATAATAGTTTCCTGGTGGAACAAATTCAGCCATGTGCTCTGATAGGCCGTGATAACCCACGTATGCTGCATTGGTGGAATGGGCAATATCCGGCGTTAACCAGAAAGCGGGGAGTGAAATGTCCGGCAGAAGTTCTGGAGTGTGCCGTTGCGTACATTTTGTTTGAAAGTACGTACTGTCACAACAAAAATTCTAAAGAATCGCACTGAGTTCATTGATGCATTATTGTCCAAAACTCTGCTCTTGGCAGGAGACCCATCTGGAATCCACCTGAGTCTCCCGTCAAAACCAAATTCGTATGGAGGTGTGTGTAAGTCAAATTTAGTGCGATCTGGGTTCAAGTAGAACAGAAGTTGGACGGGAAATCGGGGAGTGCGCCTACCTGATGAGCCCCAAGAAGGGCGAAACCGATCGAAGGGTTTTCAGCAACCTTATGAGTAGTTTGTTGCATCTAGACAATATAGTGTAGCATATCAAATAGCATACCAGCTGAAACACAAGGTGGCCTGGTGCAGCACATTCATTTGCTTAAGAACATCACAAATGAGAGACTCATTTGGATCCCAGATAAGTCTACCGTCAAAACCAAACTGGTATGCAGATGAGTGTATTAGTCAAAATTCTCTCTGAGAATTGCCCGTCACATTCCCGCTAAATAAGAAGCACCGTATTTTGGATCAATGCTACCTTTTCCGTCCATGAGCTGCGAAACTCAGATAACAATTGCCCCCTTGGGGAAATGGGCAACCTAAGGAGAAACCCTTCAGAATGGCCCACTTTTCAGGCTTTTTTCCAATGGTTATCACCATTTGACGGGGAAATATTTGACCTGGCAGACCATCTATTATCTGGAGCCTTAGACTTGAGTTCCACTGACGGATGACTACATCTTTTTGGGTTAAATAAACAGCAATGAAATTCCTGCGAGGACAGCAGTTACGGATCTAAACGTCCTGAACCAAGAAAGGATAGAATTTACCTATCTGAGTGCAGTTTACCTGAAAAAGGAACCCTGAAGAACCTCGCTATCTCCTTTTGGAGCCTTTTGGTGTCACCAAAGTGCTCTCAATATCGAGACTGGAATTAAAATGAATGCGGCACCAAAAACGAAATTTCTCACCAGTTCACTTGACTGGGATAAAGAACCGGCCACAACCAACTAGTAGGGGAAAGAATTAGTAAGAAACCGAAAAATGTATGATTTGATCGATGAAAAATTCTGAATAGACAATCTCTTGTTCAGTTTTGACAGCAACCACTGCATCCTTATTGACTTAGCGGTATTCATTGGTTATTTTCAACTCACTAACTCTCTTCAATACAGATGATTTTCTTAAAAGTGAAGTGCATATACATCCCCCTGATCGAACAAATGAGAAATCCAGTATTTCGGATTGTGGGCAGCGCACAAAATACTGAAAAGAAGAATAAATCAAGTCCATTACAAACCATTATCAGGAGGAACACATAATTTAGACTGCTGTTGGTATTAAACTTCTGTCTAAGTAGAGCCCGAAGCAATCAGTTGGAAGAGAGGTGGGTGGCCTAGTGTGATGGCCGACTAACATAGTTCATCTAAGCAACGTGTACTCATCGTGCCCCAGCAATTAGAGTATGTCCACTGCTAGAAAAGCCTTTCATTAACTCAACCTCTTTATTCGCATTCTATTCGACTTGTCCCATTTGAATTACTTACTTGATCTCAGAAAATGAAGTCTTTCAAGATCCGCGCCATTCAGTTCGGGGACTGAACACGCGCTCATGTTGATATTGTCCCACTGATATCCTCCAAAGCTGTTCATCAGGCTGCAAGGCATAAAAGGTGGGTTTTGAAACTGTATGGTAGTGTGGGAGAGATGTGGGGAGTTGAGGGCGAAGGTGAGGATTTCGTCCTGTAGCTGAATCTGAGAAGCACTGTTTAGGTGATTCATAAGATACACCATCATCAGTTATCGTCAGCAGTACGCATCTTACGAAACTCCAGGGAGTTTTAAGTCCGCGACCTCCCGGCTAGTAGATTGACCACTTATTATTCAACTTTTTAACGCTGACACCTAAAACTTTGTCGCTCGTGGCTGAACTGTCAATTACACAGACCACTTTCCGAGATGTGGCAGGTTCTGAACTCCACGGAGTTCCGTGGGATGCACACTGTTAAATAATCGATGAAGGATGAAGCCGCTGTACAGTGCTTTCCGGCCATGTGGCAGAACTCAATCTCCATTCTACCGTTATTATTATGGGAAGTGAAGCACTCGGGATTTCGGAGTACTTCGAGCAGGCTATAAAGATGAATAATCCGAAAAGCTGGAGGGCCCAAAAACAGCACTATTCACCATGCCCATTCACTGTCTCCACTAGCGTGAACTACTTGGTAGAAAGGTTCGAAGCTCTGCCTTGACTTGAAAGGATGGCATCTTCCATCAACACATTTGTTTGTGCAGTGCTTGAAAACTGTAGGTTAGCTTCTAAACCTCACTTCCTTTAGCTTGTCCAAAATTCATATTCCCCGGTGAATATTCAGACCTTGCACAGATGTGGATTTTTACGGGTAACATTCCCTTACGCAAGGGCTTCTCAGAAAGTACTCTTCAACAGTTTTGTATCCAACAGTTTTGTGTTGAGTTTATACCAACTTTGCTTTGTTGCGGGTATCCCGACATTTTCCTAGTAGTCACTATAACTAGACCTACCCTCCGCCCATTAAGATGTTTACCAGGAACATATCTTTGTACATTTTATCATGTGCGTGTTCATTTACATATTTATCGACCCAGCCCCACACACCACGATAAAATCTTCACTACACTGACGAATACGAAAAGAGAGCAGTAGGAAATTCTCGTGATTTACATATCGAAAGAAAAAAATGACGGTGACGAAACTGCGTGACCATCATTGTTTTCATCCCTAGATTGACTGATAATTGGTCAAAAGCGTTAATTTTTGAAGGGAATCGCACGCACTCAATTTCAACCCTGAAGGGACTGAGGATAACAAATACAGTTTGTTTTGCTTGATCAGTCATTAGGCTCTGTACCAGATAATTTACATATAAACCGTGAGCAGTATAACCATTATATTGCACACGCAACATCATGTGTAGAGGATAAAGAGTGCTGAAAGGTGATGAAGTCAGTCACCTTCAAATTCCCGATGCCAAAGGAGCGGAATTTCGGAAGAGGTAAATTCGACGTCATAAGAGGTTCTCTTGAGTAGAACTGTCATGGTCATACAGACGATATTAAGTGGGATGGACCAGACGCGTACTGAACGTGATCGGTTTTGAGGCTACAATTAGATAACCTAGAGGGGTTTTCGTTGCTGGTAGCCCTTTGTGGTGTGAATGTGCTGGCATTGGTCCGCCTTACTTCGTAACGAAATGAAGTCAATTAAGTGGCGAAGACTCATGCTACACACTGGTGATCCATGATAAGAACAGAGAAACGAAATAATCGATTTTAGATTTGAGTAGTCAGTCGTCACCTGGAAGCCCGTGACGGAGATGAAACTAAGACGCAGATAGCAGTCATATGATCCAAATCGACGGGAGTTTTGATTCTTCGTACAGTTATTTTAGCAGCAGTCTTGGCAAAATACAATAAATGACACTACTTGACAGTAGTTCTTCCAGGTGTTTTAGCAGTCTGAATCATTCAAATCGAGAATGGTTCAGGACAGCTGCAGAGAAAATAAGTACCCTTTTCAAAAAGTTTAGATCAAAAATCATGTGTGTAATCATATCCAGTTCAGTGAGATATCGAACACAATTTCTCGGTCACCTGGGTTGAACAAAGCTGTTAGAAAAGGTACGCACTACTCAGTCCAGATGCGCCTTTATTTACTCTGCTTTGCGCAGATACATCGTTCCACATTATGGTAACCATATCTGTGGGATTTAACTGGCCGTTGTGCTCACACTTCCCAGTAAAATTCGTGCTATTTTGAACAAATATGGCATGGAGAAGAATGGTGTAGGGGCGATGTAGCCCTCGGCAATGACAGAACTCTGGTCTATGTATCACGAACAACGAGTGTATTCAGCTATCCCTGTACAGTGCTTCTCTGCTTTTCAGCATAGACTGCTTTCACTTACAGAACGAAATCTCCGTTAAAGTTACCAGTAGTCAATCTGACTGGTAGTCGTTTTTTACAAGGCCTGGAGAGGGAATACATTCTAGTGTCAGTAGGTAGATGCATTCTTTTCAATCAATTGGGAAAGGTTTGAAACCGATTGAGAAGTCATCGTTTCAGAAGAGCTTGATAAAAAATCGGCAGTTTTTATTTGGGCAACGTTTCGCTTTTGACACAAAATCTTCCTCAAGGAAGATTTGTGTCAAAAGCGAAACGTTGCCTGAACAGATGCGCTCTTATTTGTTGCTGTCAACGACGACTTTTTGTTCCAAGTAGCTGAGCAGGTTGAATGATGCTTGGACGGATTTGTCTGACAACACACAGCTATGCTTGTGTAATAACTCAATGCTACCAAATATCTCTGTGGCAACAAGACTTGGCTTCTGATTATATCTGAGATAGGGGGGGATAACCAGTGCTGACTTGAGATGTCCCAACTTTGTATCAACTTGCAGAGCTGACTGAGCAAGCAGGCAAAAAAAGATAACATTTCTTGATGACATTTATGTCTTTGATTTATCCCGTATACCTTCGTGACGTACCTGTGGAACGTAAGCTTCATCTCCTATATTCGCTCTTTTCATGACTTTCACGGCCACTGATGATTCCAACCTGTATTGTAACAATTTATGGACAGTCCGTTGCGTTTTTTGACAGCTACTCTATAAGCAATGCTAACGGTTCATCACATATATGGTTCTGTGTTGTTTTTGGGAAGATACAGCAACTGCACGTTATTATGATGGCAATTCGAAACCATGAAGTCTTTTGCTTCCCGGGTGAAAGTACTGCTTTCTCGAGTCACAGAACGTATGGTTTTGTAGGAATTGTAGAATTTGCGTCTACATCACTTTCGTTTTGAAAGTCCTTCTCCTGTTTTGCCGCAATTGTTCTGCTGAATCCACGTCAAAGGGAAAGGCAGTGAACTTGAGTTTCCTTCTGATTGGAGCTCACCAGCAGTGAGTGTCTTTGGCTGTGCCGCGGTTTTAGCTCCGAACGTCTGTCATGCGAGGCAAGTACTACTCGACCAGCATATGCTGGAATCATCTGAATTTTCACGTCTGGTCAAACTAATGTGTCCACGTTTGAGTGATGTGTTTGGCTTGCCCAGAGCCAGCAGGTTCCAAGCTTCCGTACACTACCTGACTGGGGAGTCCTAACAGGCATGTTAGCCGATCGGCACAACCGGGACAGCCACTGGATCGTCTTTCGAGTTGTCGGATCAGTCAATCAGGTCCCTCAAGCGTGAGCAAATTAGCTTGCTCAGACTTGAAAATTCAGATGAATCCATCGTACACCAGTTCAGCAGTGGTAACACGGTTGTCTAGCATGTCAGTTAGATATCCGAAGCTCAAACCGCGGTACTGCCAGGGATAAGCACTACTGATGAGCTCTATTAAGAACGAAACCCGGGTCAACTGACTGTTCCTTTGATGTGGACCCAACAGAAAAATTGCTCTAGAACAGGAGAAGAGCCGTTCAAACGAGGGCGATGTGAACGCGAATACGTATAAAGCTGATGAAGAATCTTGCCGGTTTGGTGCTATGTTGTGAGGGGCAAAAATATAGGCGGACGTTCATGGGTAAGCCCTTTTTTAGTGGTCTGGTAAACAGGGCTGTTTGACAACAAATTCACACCATTTTTGTGGCTATCGGGTTGGTTATTGCCAGTGTTTTGTAAGCCATCAACATTTTCTGTAGCTAATACCATCATTGTTGCAGATACTTACCGTGAGCGAGTTTGTGGGTCTAAAGTCAACAAGTTTTGGAGCTTCCTTTACAGACTAGAAGCAGTTGTGTTCAATCGTCGCATGGTTGCTTTGTCTTTCAAAAGAATCTTCTGGGACAGGACTCATCGACTTCATAAATATACACAGGCCTAGTCACGGGCTATAGTCCTACATCGTTTTCCTACCGTTTACAAACAACCAGTTTAAGATTAGCTCTCTTTTATCTCAGGCTCTCTACCAAATGCCGAGAGACCCTATCATTGAGTAAGTTCTAATTTACCAAGCTCCCTTTAAGTTCTTATCGATTGATTGTACAGCGGGCAGCGGACACACCCAAATGAACTTCCCGTCCTTTTAACTTCCTGTCTTTTGTTGGCTGTATACCACACAGGAACTAGTTGTAAACGATTGGAAAGCAGCCAAACTGAAGTTGCAAATACCGATGCTTTCTTTGTGAAATTTACATCCTGTTTAACAAAGGAATATAGCCAGACCATGAACAAGATGAGATTTCAAAGTCTTAGCAACTTGGCTATGTATGAAAAGGAGTTACGCATAGATTCTAAACAGTTAAATCGCATTTTTGGCACTCCCCTTTTTGTTTCTGTTTGTTTTTGAAAAGTAGCGAAGCTGTACAATTTTACATCATAATCAGAGTTACTGACGAGTAGAACACAGAAGGAAAGTAAAGCCTCCAGCGAGCTGTAGCAGTAAAAAAGAATGACTTGGTATTGTTTGGTCAGTATGGGAGCCGGGATGCTTGGACTCACTTGGAAGCCCAGTGCATCACACAATCAGCTATGAATTTGACCGAAAATGGTAACAAAGGACGTTCTTGACTGCAACCGGAAACGCGAGTAGATTCAGTAGTCTCTTAGCCGTAAAGCTTGATTCGAGCTTTAGCTAACAGGCAGTAAAACTTGATTATAGCGATGAGCTATGCTGATGCATTGTCGAGTCAGCTCAGAGCGAAACATAATGAAGCAGACAATGGTTTGCTGCAAGAATGATTTTCTGATCCGTATGGTTTCTATCAGGGCAGAAACCACATCGGCTTGGGTCGTTTTCGAGCACCTCTTATTTTCGAGGTTCCTTCGAGTTGTCCAGAGGAAATGTTAGTGGTGGTATCCATGAAGCTGATCCCCCGACAGTTTTTGCTCGCTGTCTTGTCAGATTACTTAGAGACTGAAAGCTTAATTGAGAGCCTACAGTTAAACAGAACAGGCTCCGCCTCAGAAGTGGAGCAGATGTGAATGTGTGTGGAATTGAAAAAAATTACAAGTGCGCTTAGTCCTAACTCGCAGTTGTCAAACATCTTCGCTCCACGTACCAGACATTCGATAACTCTGAAATTTCCGGATTGCGTTTTTCCCATCGCTGTGCCTAGGATGAGACTGATTTCCCCAGGGTCAGGGGAGGCACCGTCAAGCTAGATCTGGAAGGGTTAATTCTCAATCTTGGGTACGGAATACTACGTTGGAATCGGAATCCCATCTTACTCTGCGCGGACCTAGCCTCCGACTGCTGATTTTGAGCAGCACCAGTATGGGGAACCTGTGAAGTTTACTCATCCTGTTACAGAAGAATTAAACTAAAGCAACTAATCTCAGGTGCTGGAAGTTAATTTTCCTTGTCTAGTTACGCAAATAGTTGGAATTCTCCTATCGAAACTGTGGAAGTCGGGTTGATGTTTGGATGGATGAGGACTGTTTGAGAGCCCAGAGGCGATCAAACAATGACTTGGCAGAAAAGTATAAAAGCTAGTACCAGCAAATTCAGCTGCACTGGGCATTGCCGTCTTCCTGGATGGAGACCTCAAGACGGGCCAAATCAGTGGTCAGAGACATAGTCAAACGTGACCCATTCGTGCCCTAAATGGCGCTCGTGCATCCTAGCTGTTGCCTGCAATGCATAGCTCCCTTCCCGACCCCCTACCTTACAGTCCACTGACAGTGCTGTATTTACGCACCAATTTATCAGCTCGTAGGTACCTACCCCATCTCCCCAAATCATCGGTGAACGAAAACTCTGACAGCTACAAGTACGCGGCTCTTACAGCTGACAGTGATGATGATAATCCACTTTATTCATTATCGGGCTTCTCAGCTAGACGCAGTCTTCTAGTCTTTATCAGTTTGGTTTCTGATTTCTACTCTAGAATAGGTGGCTGTGGAAGTAAATACAGACGGCGTTGGATAAAGCTTATTTATGATATTTTTTCGGACAAGATGATCGATTAATAAGTATCGTGGAAGGGAAATTCATTCAGTTTCATGTCCGTAATATTTGAGTTTACAGATGTGTGAACAGATCATTGAAAGCACCTGCGGGTCAAAACATGGATTTATATGTGCCGGAAAACTACTTGAAGTAGTTCAATTTGTAATCCAGTGTGGGTTGTCTACCTTGAATTGGTTACAGCTCAGGATAATGGATAACTGTCAGAAATAATAAGGATTCATTCACTTGCATAAAACGTGTTTGCGATTTACCATGAAACGCTTTCATTCACTCTGATTCCCAGTATTCTGCTCTCGCACCGCGCATCGTAATATCCAGAGATATGGGTGAGCCCGAGGCGTGGCAGTTGCACCCTCACTGAGTAATAGTCTGTGAGTTCAAACGACATATTCATGGCTTCACAACCTAGAGACGTAGAAATAATACCCACTTATCACCGTTAAGGTATGGATTCCGTTCAGACTATCATAGTTCAGCCAATCTCATGATACCACAATAATTGGAAGTTTACCGATGCAAGCCGCGAGAATATTAAATTTAATAAAGTCTCGTGGCAGCAAACAGGAATAAGATGTGTGAGGGTCGCGCCGCAAAACGAAAGACAAATTTAACTTAATAAATTGAAATTAGCATGTATTCGTCAGGACTAACGAGAAGCTTTCCTCTTCAGAGAATCATGGATCCTAAGCTTGATCTCTATTAGTGCACTTTCGATGATGGTCAGAATACAAATCAGGTGTATGCACTAATAAAAGTCTTCACTGTGGTTGACAGTAGTTTACAGAAGTGATTTGAAGCATGTATAAAATAAGGGGCAATATAAAGTGTGGAGCAAGTCAAAAGGGAACTTATCGTATGTGAGAGTCCCTTGGTGAAAGTCCGGACGGCGGGAACGTGTTATTGTCCGCAGTGCGACTGCTACACGTGTTCCATAACTGTCCGTGGACTTGTGGAGAGGTTGACATCCTGCTCCCTGCGCGCGCGCGAGTCTGTGTGTGCTGACATTGTTCGGTTTCCCTATATGTAGGTCCGTTTGCGTGAACATGAGTGTGACAGCACATGAGTAGTTGCCACGCTCAATAGGCGGTGCAGACAATCGATGTCCGATCAGTCAGCTTAGCGTGACGTGGTTTGTGAGCATAAAAAAAGACAAGCCTAATGATCCAGTGAGCGACTGTGAGCTGAACAGTCAAGTATGTGGGTGACTGGGTGGCTAAAAGTCCCCATACAACATTTCCCCTCTAAACCTTTCCCAACATTGGGATGACGCTTAACTGGAGAATTGCGCCCATACCAAGATAGAATCCAGGGCAGAGTGATAAAAGCTTTTACACTTGGTCACCATATGATTTTCAGAGTACTTAGGAAAAAAGTCCACGGCAAGAATGGCCCGATTGGTAACGCAACACTGCTTAGACGTAATATGCTGAAAATGCTTCGACAGCCCACGATGGGCTTCGCCCCTTTCGGGGCTCACCATGTAGGCGCAGTCTGCGAGATTCCGGCAGTCTTATGTTGTACTTGAACCCAGAGTGAACGGGATTCAGCTGGGTTCCAGATGAGTCTCCTGTCAAAGCCTGATTGGTATGCAAATGAGTGTATTTGTCGAAATTTATCCAAGTTGGGTTCAAATAGAACCTAAGGTTGACGGAAACTCGGGTACTGCGGGTACCCGATGAGCCCCAAGAAGGGCGAAGCAAGGCCGTCGAAGAATTTGCAGCAACATTATCAGTAGTGTAGCTGGCAAACCGTATCTTCCCGGAACCCCCGGGAAGGCGAAACCATTGTCGGAGCTGGGTTTCTGTACGGTGCTATTAACGCGAGACACGTATTCACAAAATATACAAACCTCGGTAGTAGATATTCGTCGACAACAAATGGTCCACCTGGACTACAAAAGTACGAACCAAATAAACAAACAGGCTCCCACAAGAGACGTGCATTAGGTCGGCCACAAATGGCTGGATGACCTCAAGGCCAAATGGGTGAAATGTAAGGACAAACAAACGTCAGACGCACTAAACACAAAGGTGGAGTGGGTGTTACAAATTGGAACAAAAGAAACGTGGGGAATTTCAAATGTCATAGTAATGGACGATACAAGTATTGTGTTTTGTCAAACTACTTATGTTTATTTTTGGTGTACACACACAGCATTATTGAACTCTTCCTCTTGGAAGGAGGCAGATCGTGCGAGACTAAATTTCATTTGGTCACTCTGCTCCTCCGTTATTCCTAACGGATTCTGTGGTTTGAATTACGTACCACGCCGGGTATACCAGTGTATTGGTTCGAAATCTGTTGATTGCTGTATTCTACGCATGCGAGACTTGGTCATTTCGGATGAAAGTTCTGAGACACTTCAGGTTTTCGTCAACAGCAAATTTGAAATAATGTGAACAGAATGGGGGATTTCGGTGAAGACGGTACTTCACTCAAATAATGCATCCAGCACTTCAAGTTAATTCTATTGGACCATGTGTTACACCTGCCAAAAAAGCGCTGTTCACTCAAATATGCATCCAGCACTTCAAGTTAATTCTATTGGACCATGTGTTACACCTGCCAAAAAAGCGCTGTTCCCGTTTTTAATTGGCAGTGGCGCAAACCTAGAGGTGAATAAAATTTAACACAAAAGGAACTGAAGTATATTATCAAAAGTTTGAGCGCTGTTCGCCTTCAAGCATAGAGTCTAACTGGCCTTCCCATTGCTTGACTGAAGACGCCGAACGGTTTAGCGGTTAACTGATGTCAGTGACGTTCATGATGTTAGGTTCTGTCTGAATTGTCTGAGTGTAGGTAGCGCGGATGTTGGTGGTAGGTAGGATCCCACCTGTCCCGATTCCCTCTTTCCATTATGAGACTTGATTCAAATAAATTGGCGTGGTTGTATGGCATTGGAACAAACGTGTTCTCATTTGGTGATGCTGTTATTGGTCATGATGTGGTGGTCATGATAGTAATTGTTGCAACTTCATATATATTTAAAATTACTGTTGATCCGGCTTTGCTTGTCTTTTGGAGTACCTCACCGTTTGTCGAAAACCGTTGAGGTTTGTAATTTTGTATTCCGTGTAACTACACTACTTTTTTATAGTACAGCACATTTGCGTAGCCATTCGTTCGGAGTTTTTCCGGTTTGGTTGCTAACCTTGGTGCTCGTTGCTCAAGAATTCGAAACGGTCGTTACAGTAGTCTGTATCAATCAACTGACTTGCGCTCATCCATGCTTACTCTATAAAGTGGGCACCTCCGCTGCGGCATTAGCGCAGAACCGATCTTACACCATGTTATTTTCAGTGGCGTTATTTTCGTTAAATGATGCCTGCTTAGTGCTAGGACACAAGAAACGCGTTAATGAAAAACATACTTAAACGTGTGGCACTTTCTTGTGTCATATGGAGTCATCTTCGTGATCTCCTTCCCCCAAATGGTGCTTTGCAGCACTGGTGCTGGTACTACGCTATAAACTTACGGCCGTCGATTTGCTCCCCTTGGGAGCGGAGAATGTGGGGCAAGCGGACTTGATTCACAGTATCCTTGACCATCGAAATCAGGTCGCCATTGGCAGACCACCAGCCTTGGTACAGCAGGATTCGTGCCTGGACAATCCACTGCCTATTGACGGTTGTAGCCTTCCGGGTTCCCTCGCCTGCAGTTTACCCACCACCCGGTTAAGTTGCTTACGCAGGCCATCTACAATTGAATATATGGCTCATAAAAAAGTGCGAGGGTACCTCTTGACCCTGGAAGATGTGATTGGAAACAGCATTTGTGGGTGAGGAAGCGACCAATGAGAACATCCATGAATCATATTTCTCACACCTTGAAACAATGCCTGCAGCGTTATGAATCGCACTTCATTTATTTTGCAGCTGAATGTCTTCGCGATGTAGCTGCATTTTGTTGAGGCATCCAAGAAGTGAAATTCTGGGAGGAAAATTGCATGACCTTGTTTTTCGTTTCTGGGGAAGGCTCAACCTTCCGTGGTATCTTGGTTGATGTAGACGCTCGTAAGCCACTTGCCCCAGTAAGGACATTCCACGCTGTCTACTTCCGCAGCATGACAGATATTACGACAGATGTTTGGTGCTTTTTCACGGATTCACGTAGCGATTCGCAGGATCGAGACTTTTGTCACGGTTTTCCAGGTCGGTTTTGTTAATATTGTTTGGCGGCTTTCGTTGACCTAAAGGATGCAAGTGAAAAAGGGTATGTCATCATCCTTTAGTTTCTCAGCGCGTGGAAGCATGCTTGCGAGCGCGAGGACTCGAATAAATAGGTGTTCAATAGTGCTTTGAACTGGGTTCTAGAATGAGCGTGGTCAACGTCGAGGGCGGGTTAGTCCACGCAGCTACCATCCGAAATAGGAAAAAATTGCCTAATGGATGTGTGCGCTTTGAGCTTGGAAACCTTCTTACCATGCCGCCGTCATGCGTTTACTGGGTTAACAATGAAAAACATGTTGGACGAGTTTTGTTCAATCAGAGACTAAATAAGAATTAGGTCCCACCGGGGGCGAAAATACTTCAGGGTTTCGTGCTCTGTGGATTTGAGGCCGGCAACCAGTTTCGTAACGGCCCGCTGGACAAATTCTACTCACGATCACTTAAATGTAAAGTCCACTGACACCCGTGTTTTTACGCATAATTTGTATCAGCTATGGTTGACAATGGGTAGTTATCTACTCCCAAGTCCTCAGATCATAGGCGAACGAAAATGTGGCAGCTAGAACCAACATATGAAAATAAGTGGTTTTTAAAGCGTCTGCTGCTGATTATGACTGGCTTGTTTGAGAAAATGAGACAAGTGGTACCAACTAATCCATAGGCAATACCGACAACTTCTAAGGTAGCCCACGACAATCAGCCCATAGAGTATGATTACTTTACAGTGGTACATTTACAGGCCACTTTAGTTTGATCGTCCGCAGGTATACGGAAACTGCTTTGAATAACGAGTAGACTCGGGTTTACGGCACCTCACTACACATTATCCACCTTCCCTACTGTACTCTTCCGAGCTCGTGACTTTTTTAGCACACGAACCTGCATTTCTGAAGAAATGTGGACATGTTGTTTAGCTACTCAAACATTTAAAGTAGCCAAACAGAGGATAACAACATGTATTGAGGCCCCGTTTAGTGCTACACCATTCCTCTGGATGCCTAGTTCGGCACAGAAGTTAGCACCACTGACTACAAGCTATGATCGTGATGAGTTAAACAGTTCTTAGGTTACCTATTATGTCACTGGTTGATGGGTAGGGGGACAAAAAGTTGCAACGATCCATTTGGACAGAACCCGCGCAATCGCCTTTTAATTTGTAGCAAGTATTTTAGATTTCAAGTGTCTTGAACACACCTAAAGCAACTGTATTCCATAACTGTACTCAGCTGAACGATCAAAGCTAATTTTTCGTCCCACCTGTTTTATCACACGGCCAAATGCAACAATATAACACTATATTTGAGCGTTGGAACGTCTTTACTTCCATAGATGTTGTCGCTTAAAATTACCCACGATTATTTTCCAGGTAGTACTAATCTTTCATGTTATGCACACGGACCGATGAATATATTGATATTTGGTTAGTCGAGAGCTGGGAAAAACTCATCGGAATTGTTGAAACCCCTTAGTTTCATTATTCCCTTGTCCAATCACTGCCTCAGGTCATCTCTCGTCTACAATATCTACGATATTCCTCCCTGCGATTCAATTAAACTGTCCACCTTCATCGAACAAACCTCCACAGGGAACAGCTCTCCCGTTATCGTCATGTACCTCAAGCTAACTTATTCCCAAAGCATTCTCCCTTCACCTTCGTATTCACAAGGGTAATTATTCGCCAGTCATAACCGGCATGACTCAAGAGGATATCTGGCCGATGAGCACGAGGTAATTGGCATGAACAAAACTATGAAACGAGCTGGGGTAGCATAGATGAAAACTGATGTATACTTCAATTTGGATCAGTTAACTAGTTAGCTTTTCACTTATGCATCCTGTTTCGGACCGCTACACTGCTGAGACCGTCTATCACAAATACTGATGGATCATACACTTGCATGACCAAGTGGAATGCTGCAGCTCAAAAGAGGGATCTGTTTTTCTTTCATTCGTGCGATAGGCTAAAACTGAGATCGTGAGTGTGACATTTCAATTCATTCAGGCCAAGATGAATGTCAGTAAAACCAAATGTGTTTGTAAAGACTGTACAACAGCCCAAAATAATTTTCGTCACGTTTCGGGACAGACACGTAGGCGTGGACCTCGGGATTATCGATCGACAAGCAGAAAATCAATTTGATTCCAGGCTCGTTTGCAGACCAATTTCTACGTTGTAAATGCCGGAACCGATGGATCGCGAGGTGATATAAAACATGCGAGAATTTGTTGAAATTCCTCCTTCTGACGGAAGTACTCATATGGTAGGAATGCAGCCATGTATGGTGGGCAATATAAAATATCAGAACGAAGGTCTTGGTTGCAGAAAAACTGAGCTATCCCGAGTATGCCCACATAGAACGCAAGACTCAGAACAATACTAGTTTGAGGATTTTGCTTCTAGGGCGTACCACTACACAGTTCCGTGCTGCGGCTCAACAGATAGGGGATCTTAGTAATAGTGGAAAGGATGTGCAATAACCTCAATCCGACATCTCGGTAAGTAGCTGGATTTGAAAACAAATCTGAGACTAAAAATGGGTCAGCAGTAATCCTTGCTTTGACGGGAACTCCACACATAGTTAAATTGATTTCAGGAATGATTGCCTGTTTCGCTAGTCGCATTAGGCATCTGGTCTAGCTGACACTATTCTGGTGACACTGTCATCAAACTACATGTCGATTTGGTGACGGCTTTCAGGTGAACATTGCAACAGAAGCAGCGAAATTTGGTTGCTCAAGTTGAGGATCAACACGGATGTCTATGACTAGAAGCTAGCCAGTCAAATCAAAATGAGTAAAGTGATGGCGTAACAAAATCATTTTCCCGTATATCGAACATCCCAGACATTATCCAGTTGGCAAAATTGACCAGGGTACCTGAAAAGTGGGCTGAGTCCTGTTAGGTCTGTTTCGAGTCGTGTGAAGCGTAACTTCTGCTCACGATCACTTAAATGTAAGGTCCACTGACACCCGTTTTTACGCATCAGTTGTATCAGCTACGGTCGCCAATGGGTAGCTATCTATCCCCACATCCCCAGATCATAGGCGAACAAAAATGTGGCAGCTAGAACCAACATATGAAAAATAAGTGGTTTTTACAGCCTCTGCTGCTGATTATGACTGGCTTGTTTGAGAAAATGAGACGAGTGGTACCAGCTAGTCCATAAGCAATAACGACAACTTCTAAGGTAGCCCACA